TTCACCATACTTGATCTGTATGCTGAGCAATTATCTGACAAGTAGAACCATATGAAGAAACGTGACTACAGAATCAGAGGAAAACCAATTAACAACCTGCAATATCTAGATTACACAACTGCTGATTGAAACATTTACTACTGAAAATTAAAGACTCTGGAGCCTTGAGCATGACCTTTTTTTTTCTGGTATTAACAGTAAGATTTACACTGGGGCTTGCCCATAGTGCTCTTGATATATAGCGCCCGCACTTTCTGCCAGTTCTTCTTTAGCAGTGAAACCAGGAAGTTGACAGCCAGGTGGATGTTGTAAACAAGTTCATCATCTGTCCTCTTCACATGGCCAACAGCCACTGCCAGACACAGGACCTTTTTCATCTGGAATTTGATGGTGGACTTCACCTCGTCTACTTTTGCCACCATGTTCTCATTGTGGGTCAGCAGAGAAGGGAACTTGCCAGCCTTATTCAGCCCTGGACCTAAGATTCTTGGGATCTGCTTGATCAGGGATTCTGAGACCAAAAAGGCATCATACTTCTTGGCCAGCTTTTTGACCAGCTTCTTATTCCTGTTGAGTTTTTTCAGAAAGTCAATGTCCATATGGGGGATATCCACAGCCTTGGCTTCATCACAGTGCTGCTGATCCCCAAGAACACACACTGACAACCTGGGGTGAACTTAAGCCCAGAGTGTCCAAATCACCAACAGCTAGTCTGGCTTGTCAAACTAGCTGACGGGATAGGCCAAGGCCACCCCAGGCCTCCCCTCATGTTTTAAAACCCAGGGTTGGGGTCCACTCAGCCACTCCTGCCCTGAGCAGGTGGTCTGAGCTACCCTGGCACAACAATGCCTCTGTGGCTGTCTCGAGCTCATCAGCAGGAGTCCAAAGGGGAGATGACAGCCACAGGGGCACTGAGGGCTGAGTGAGCATGACCTTTAAAAATAAAAAATTAGAATCCTTATACTTAGTCCAATAATTAAAACTGGAAAAAATGAAGAGAGATTAAAATGGTTTATGATTTCATTTTACCTGGATCTACAATCAAAGCATAAAAGCAGCGGTCAAAAAAAAATCAAATAAATATGCTTGATAAAGTTAAAAAGAAGAGGAAGAGATGGATTGATTCAGTAGTTCCAACAACATGCACAAAGATACAAACGACTGTGGTAGTACAGGACCGGGCTGTCTCATTCTGTTGTACACCATGTCACTGTGAATTGTTTCTGGTTAAAGGAGACCTAAGAACAGCTGATAGGTATTTTAGAAGGAACCCTAAGAGTACAGTAATTAAACACTCAGCTATTAACTGAGGGCTTGCTATGGAAGATCAAAGACTATAGCCTTCAAAATGGACTGCATCTCAACAGACGGGGGGAAAAAATTCTCACCGCTGTATAGGGAACATAAATAGATGGAGAAAAGACTGAAAATGGCAACGACTTCATTTTCCTTAAATCTATAATCAATACACTTCGTACCAGCAGTTAAGCTATCAGGAGATATATTACTCTGGGAAAATCTGAAGTTAATGATCTCTCCAAATTATTGAGAAGCAATGATTCTACCTGAGCACTAAGACACACCTGATTCAGGCCATGGTCTTTTCAATGACAGAAGAACTGATGACCTTTAACTATGTTGTTGGAGAAGGGTACTGAACATCCCATAGATTACCAGAGAACAAACAGATATGTCTTGGAGAATATGCATCTAGAGTGCTCCTTGCAGGCAAAGATGATAAAATATCACTTCAAATACTTGAGGCATTTTGCTAGGAGAGCAATTCCTTGGGTAGAGACATCCTGCTTGGAAAGGTGGAGGAACATTGAAAGAGAGGAAGACCTTTAACCAGGTGGACTGACTCAGTGACTGCAGCAATGGGTTCAAGCTTGTTAAGAGATTGTGAGGTTGGCACATGACTTGAAGGAGTTCAAATCAATTGTTCACAGGGTCACTATAAGTTGTACTCAACTTGAAGGCACCTAGCAAGAATAATTTACTGAGAGGTCAGTGGTTTAATCCTTTTGAGTATCAGAAGGATAAATGACCAGTCATCTTCTCCTACAAAGATGTACAGCTTCATAACATCATCCCATATTACCAAATGGGATGGTCATGAGTTAAAAATCAAAGCAAGAGCGCTTAAGTACAACCATTTGGTATTTATTTATACAGAAAAATCACATAAACTATTTCATTGAAAGGTTTAAAATGTACAGTACAACGTTAAATAGAACTTCACGACAGCTGCATTGCCTCTTAGTTTCTCAGGCTGCATAGTGGAGTGGACCTGGGGGGAGGGATTATATAACAATGAAAAATTTTTCTTTTACTTTTCAAATAGAAGAGCAAATTGGGGGGAGGGAGGGGTGGACTGAGAGAAAAGTGCAACAATGAATGAATGGAAATCCTCAGTCTCTGTAAAGTTTCACTAAAATTAATAATAATAAAAAAATTTTAAAGATGCTCCACTATTGAAAATGACAGTATTGTAAATCTTTTTATCTGCTTAGTAATGTCTCTTCTTTTTTTTATTTTGCCAACAGTTATTATATCATAAATAGCTTTGAGTTTTAGAAAATGTATTTTCTTCACCTACTGAGATGATCATGATGTGGCTTTTCTCAATAATTATATAGTAAAAGTTACATTTTAAACTTCTCTTTGCATTTCTCAAACATCTGGAATCAAGTTGCTTAGTGAAAGGCAATATAGAGTAAGTGAATGATCAGAAAGTGTAGTAACTGTAATTAGCGTTATAAAATAAATATGTATAAATGATTAAAAACCAAGATGCATTGAAAACTTTCAGCAAAATCACAATTATTTAAAAGCTAATAATAAAGAACCATACGCATTGTGAAATAATATTTTCCAGTAGTTTATTTAGGGTAATTTTCCTTTCCTTTCTTGACTGGTAAGATATATCATTTTCTTTCTTACATATCTTCTTTAAAAATGTAAGTATTTCAAAGCCTTAAGGGCTATGTAAACTACTTATTGTGTTTTTTGGTTTTTGGTTTTTTTAATTTAATCTCTCTGGAGACTAAGGTGTGCCTGATCCAGGCCATGGTCTTCACAATTACATGCTTTGCATCAAAAAGCTGAACAATGACTAGGGATGACAGAAGGAGAATTGATGCCTTTGAACTGTGGTGCTGGAGAAGAATATTAAATATATATTAAATATTAAATATAAGAACAAACAGATTCATTCTGGAGAGGGTGAAACCAGGCTGCTCCTTGTGGGCAAGGATTCTGAAGCTTCATCTGACATACTTTGGACATGTTGCAAAGAGGAACCAAGGAAGACCCAAGGATTGATGCTTTTGAATTATTGTGATGGTAAAAAAATATTGACTCTACTATGAACTTACAAAACAATAAGTTGTCTTGGAAATACTACAGCCAGTATGCTTCTAAGAAGCAAGGATGGTAAGATTTCATCTCACATACTTTGCGCATGTTATGAGGACATGGGGCAGTTCCTAGAGAAACGTTATAAAATAGAGGGTCAGTGAACCTATAACGAGATGGATTGATTCAGGAGCTACAACCATTGGCTCGAGCACAGCAAATGACAGTGAGGACGTATAGTAATTGACATGATTTATTTCTGATATAGGGTCACTCGAGATCAATCAATGGCAGCTGACAACAACTATGTCATCTTCTTTGTTATTGTTATGTACAATAGAGTAAACTCATAGTGATCCTATGAACAACAGATCTCAATCCTGTCCTATCCTGTGCCATCTTCACCATCTCCGGGACACTGAGCCCACTGCTGCAGTCACTGTGTCAATCCATCTAGCTGAGGGTTTTCCTCTGATTTCACTGACCCTCAACATTTCCCTTGCCAAGGCCTAGTCTATCTTATCTTTGCAAGGGTTTGGTTAGAATGGATACGGTCTAAACTCTGTCTTTTGACTAGTCTCTGAAATAGTTTGAATATTGAAATAATTTGCTCTGGGATTTTGGGAAGAAAGCATCTGTAAAATTATGAGGCCTGATATTTTCTTGAGGAAGACTTTAAAGTCTTGACTGAATTTCTTTACTTATGAAGGGGTTATTTTTTTGTGTAATCTCTCAGATAGAAATACTTAACTATAATTAATCATTCTTTCAACACACATGCTTGGCAGAAAAGGCTGATGAAAAGCACCCCAGTTAGTTGCCCTTTATATACAGCATGATATGAATGAACAAATGATGAATACACCAACATTCCAGTGCTCACATTTGGGAAGCCACTTAAAACGGAATTATTAATTGCATATGAGATGTGAAGGAAAGTAAAGCAAAGAAGATAATTAATTCACGAAGTTTGGGCTCACATGTAAGTAATATAAATCTGAGAAGTAGTTAAGTTTGAGGAACCAAGGCATAGTCCCATTTAGACGTAAGTAGTGTGAAGTACTTGGTAGAATGCCAAGTAAGTTTTTGGATATTAAGTGTCTGGGAACTGACATTTGAACCTGTGGTTCTGGATGGTATTAAGGCAGCATATTGAAAAGACATAAACATGGAATCTGAGGAATATCAATAAATGAGGCTCTGGCAGGAGAAGAAGGTATTAACAATGAAAAATTAGAGAGGAGGGGGAAAAAAGAAGAGCAAAGAGCAGAGCAAACAGTGTCATAGAAAAATGGCATTATCCAAATTATACATTTTTTTCAGTAGATAATGACAATTTTCTTTTCCTATTAACATTGCTTTTGCATTTTTTCCAGCAAATAAAACTACCTTTTTGCCAGTTACAGAACTAACTCCAGCTAATCACAGCCCCATGTGTGTAAGAAAATTGAGTGTCTAGTATTTTCGATGACTGATTTTTAAAAAGATCATCAACTATTTGGCAAACGTTTACCAAGATAAGTGAAATATAATATTCTAAAGATATTCCATTAAAGCTAGAACTTTCAAATAATCTCCTGGATTAAAACAAATTATGTGTTTCCTACGATTCCTAACTACTGATAATTTTTCCATACACTTACCAACAGTATCACATGGTTCATCTTTGTGTACACAGAAGTCTTTCCTAGAAAGAAAAAAAAATCAGTGTAAAGCTCCCATTATACTAATAGATATCATGTGAACCAATTTCAGTCACATGATTAAATATACAGTAATATTTTGGTAATTCATCAATGTATGCTGGCCACATCTTTTTACTTTATACAATCAACATTTATTTTTTCTAAGAGTTTTATATGAAGCAAATGGTTAAAATCTTTAAAAATAGATACATAATATATTTTAATAAGTGGATTTAATTATTTTATTTAAACTCTATATTTTATTATGGACATAATTTCAATTGTTTTATCACTTTATTAGTGCATTTCTAATCACCAAATAATACTTCTTTGGCTTTTCTTGTTTTTCCCATTCTTCCTGTTTTCTTTTCTTTTCTTCTCACTTGTATTCATTTATGCAGATGATAAAACCTTGCTTGCTGAAAATGAGGAGGAGCTGAAACGCTTGCTGAAGAAGGTCAAGGACTATAGTCTTCAATATGGATTGAAGCTCAACATCAAGAAGACAAAGATTCTCACCACTGGGTGAATTGGCAGCACCATGATAGATGGTGAAGAGATTGAGGTTGTTAACAGTTACAGCTTGCTTGGCTTCACAGTCAAAACTATTGCACCAGGAGTCAGGAAATCAAAAGATGAATTACATTGGGAACATCTGCTGTCAGGGACCTCTCCAGAGTACTGAGAAGTAACCATGTCAGTTTACAGATTAAAGTGCACCTTTTCCAGGCCATGGTCTTTGATATTATGCATTAGAGAGTTGGACAATGAATAAATATGACAGAAGAAGAATTGATGCCTTCAAATTGTGGTATTGGAGAAGAGTCTTCAACATACTATGGACTTCCAAAAAAACAAATAGGTCTGTTTTGGAGACAGTGAAATCTAGTTTCTCTTTGGAGGATAGGATTTTGAATCTCTGTCTCACGTACTTTGGGCACATGGCCAGGAGAGGCCATTCCTTGGAGAAGGACATCATGATCAGAACAGTGGTGGGACAGTGCTGGAGAGGAAGACCCCAGATGAGAAAGATTTATGCAGTAACTGGGGACATCGGGGTTGGTGTGTCAGAATAAATGAGAGTAGCTCAGGACAAGGCAGGCTTCAGAGTTCGCTATGAGTCAAAGGTGACATGGCGGCATATAATAACAACAAAAACAACAATATTCATTTGGGAAGGAACATTAAATTATCTTTTGTTTATGGTTACTTTTATATTTTAAAGCTTTTACATTAGTTTCCTATTGCTGCTTCAACACATTTTTGAGATGAATACAACAGAAACTATTATTGTACAGAGTGGAGCTCCCAAAACTCACTGCCACTCTGCTGATTTCTTCTCACATCTTAGAATATGGAGGTGCGATCCTTGTTTGTGTCTACCACTGAGTCAGAGCAAACCCATAGCTGACCTGCAAGCAGGATTTCAGAGGCTAAAATTGCCCAGGAAGAGATAGAAAATCCAAAATTGTTTTCATGAGCTAACTCTGAAGATTGCATTGGAGCGAAGAGAAGCCAAAGCACAAGGAAGAATTCAAGATACTAAAGAGCTGAACAGAAGATTCCAAAAGGCAGAACGGAATGACAAAGCAAAATATTACAAGGAAATGTGCAAGGAGATAGAGTCAGAAAATACAAAGGGTCGAACTCGTTCAGCATTTCTTAAGCTCAAGGAACTGAAGAACAAATTCAAACCTAGAGTTGCTATAATCAAGGATGCTTTAGGCAGAATATTAAATGATCCAGGAGGTATTAAAAGAAGATGGAAGGAATATACTGAGTCATTGTATAGAAAGGAATTGGCAGATACAGAAGAATTTAATGAAATAATATATGAGCAAGAGCCTATGGTGATGAAGGAAGAAGTTCAAGCTGCTTTGAAGGAAATAGCAAAAACTAAGGCCCCAGGAACAGATGGTATACCAATTGACATGTTTCAGCTAACAGATGCTGCCCTGGATGTTCTCACCAAGTTGTTCTAAGAAACCTGGAGAACAACCACTTTGCCAACTGACTGGAAGAGATCTATATTTGTTCCCAATCCAAAGAAGGGTGACCCAACAGAGTGTGGAAACTACAGAACAATCTCACTGATTTCACATGCAAGCAAGATTCTACTGAAGATTATCCAAAAATGACTGGAACAGCACATCAGCAGAGAACTGCCGGAAGTCCAGGCTGGGTTTAGAAGGGGTTGTGGTACTAGGAATATTGTAGCTTATGTTAGATGGATCTTAGCTGAAAGCAGGGAATACCAGAAGAATGTCCGTCTGTGTTTCATTAATTATGCAAAGGCGTTTGACTGTGTGATCATAACAAACTGTGGCTGACTCTGAGAAGAATGGGAAACCCAGAACATTTAATCGTGCTGATGTGAAACCTATACTTGGACCAAGAGGCAGTCATCAGAACAAAGCAGGGTAACACTGCATGGTTCAAAATGGGGAAGGGTGTATGCCAGGGATGTGTCCTGTCTCCATACCTTTTCAACCTGTATGCAGAGCAGATTATTCGAGAGGCTGGGCTCTATGAGGAGAAGTGTGGCATCAGAATTGGTGGAGGATCTATTAACAATCTGCATTATGCAGATGACACAAGCCTGCTTGCCAAAACTGAGGAGGACCTGAAATGCTTGCTGCAGAGGGTCAAAGACTGCATTCTTCAGTAAGGACTAAGGCTCAATATCAAGAAGACAAAGATTTCCACCACTGGACCAATTGGTAGCATCAGGATGGATGGCAAAGAGATTGAGATTGTTCACAGCTTCAGTTTGCTCGGCTCCACGGCCAACACTATTGGCACCAGCAGCCAGGAAATCAAAAGGCATATTGCGATGGGAAAGTCGGCTATTAGGGACCTCTCTAAAGTACTCAAGAGCAACGGTGTCTTTCTGGATACTAAGGTGTGCCTGATATAGGCCATGGTCTTTGCAATCACTTGTTATGCATCAGAGAGTTGGACAATGACTAGGGCGGATAGAAGGAGAATTGACACCTTTGAGCTGTGGTGCTGGAGAAGAGTATTGAATGTACCATGGACTGCCAAGAAAACAAACAGATCCATCCTAGAGAGGGTTAAACCAGGCTACTCCTTGGAGGCAAGGATTCTGGGGCTTCGTCTGACATACTTTGGACATGTTGTAAGGAGAGACAGGTTCTTGTAGAGGGACATCATGCTTGGTAGGGTAGAGGGACAGCGCAGGAGGGGAAGACCCTCTCTGAGGCGGATTGATTCAGTGACTGGGGTAATCGGGATGGGTGTGTCAGAGGCAATGCGACTGGAACAGGATAGAGCAGGGTTTAGGGCTGTTGTACGTAGGGTCACTACAAATCGCAAACGACTCGATGGTACATAACAACAACAGCAACAACAATATCAAGTTGCATGGAGGAAAGTATTCTTTCTGGAGACCACAGAAGTGAGTCAGTTTCTCCGCTTCTGCCAACTTTTTGGTCAGCAGACCTGATGGACAATAGTCTCCTTCTGTCTTCAAAGTCAACAATCATTTCACTCTGACCTTTGATTCTGTTATCACTTCTTGCTCTGACTAATGCTCTGGCCCCTCTCTTTCTTTTGTAATGACCCACTGAGTTCATTTCAATAATTTCAGATAATTCAAGAGACTCTCCTTCTCAAAGTCTTAATCACACTTTAACTTAATCACACTTACAATGTCTCTTGTACCATATAAAACAGCATATTCACAGATTCTGGGGATGGAGACATGGGGATCTTTGAGGGGAAAGACATCATCATGCCTAATACACAGTTGTGAAAATGTCAAAACTAAAAATCATCTTCAATCTCTTTCTGAGATTACTTAAACAACTAAAGATAAGGGAGAGAAGATACAATGAAATTTCTCTTATAAAAGGTAACCATTCAAGACTAAAATGCTCTTATAAAAAGGTCTTTCTGTGTATATGTGCCCAATGCAGCATGTCTTTTGATTTACTGACTCATACTACCATTGGTATTGACTGTGGAGAGAAGTACAACGAAATCCTTGGAAACATGAATATTTTCTCCGTCTATCATGATGTTTTCTATCAGTCCATTTTTGAGAAGTTGAAGTACAATCCACATTGATGGCTGTAGTCTTTGATCTTCTTCAGTAAGTGTTTCAAGTCTTCTTCACTTCCTCTGGAATGGTTGTGTCATATGCACAATGCAGGTTGTTGATGAATCTTCTTCCCATCCTGATGTCACATTCTTCCTTTTATAGTCCAACTTTTCTAATTATTTGTGCAGATGAAAGGATAGAATGCTGACACATCTCTCTTGATTTTAAACTATGCAGTAACCTCTTGTTCTGTTTAAACGACTGCTTCACAGTGTAAGTTTTCAAGAGTACACTGTTGTTCTTGTTGTTAGACACCATCGAGTCAAGTACAACTCATAGCAACACTATGAACAACAGATCTGAACCTTATCGTACTCTGTGCTATCCTCATAATCACTAATGTATGCAAGCCAATTGCTGCATTCACTATATAAATCCATCCGGTTGGAAGACTTTCCATCCTTCCCCATCTCTCCAAATTTTCAAATATGATACATTTCTAGGAGAAGGTAAAGCCAAAAAGTGTTCCTTGCAAGATAATGAAGCTTCGTATCACATACTTTGGGCATATTGCTAGGAAAAGTTATTCCTTGGAGAGGGATATCACGCAAGAATATACTAGTGTTCTAGAATTACTGTTCCAGATAAAATTTTAAAGACTCCTAAACTCTAGCAAATCATGAACACTCTCAAGTAAAACACTCATTCATAGTGTTGTAGTTAAAAATTTTTTTTTAAACATTAGATATTTTGATAAAAGCTAGTGCGGTAATACACCCTCAATTATCCTAATTTCCTTAAATTAGGAAATACACTTTGGTTCCTTAATATTTCACAGTCAAATAGTATTATAACCATTGATTTCTAATAACAAAATCTATCACCAATAACAAAATCTATCACCAATGTTCAAGCTCAGTTATTTGGACAATTTAGACT